AGAGACTCTCCCAGGTTGGTCATCCCCAGGGGGCACAGGCTGAGAGTGAGGGCCTTCACCTTGTCCACAGCCCCCTTCTGGCATGGTTTACAGTTGCCATGGCGACACCCAAGGATGCTCCTCTCAATGGCTCCCAGCAGTAAGAGCCTCTTGAAAGCTGGCACACCCATGGCCTTGACTCTCTCTCTCATTAGTAATTGAAATACTGAGAGCCAGTTCCCTGTGTGGGCCCCAGGCTGCAGTTTGCCACATCAGCCGGCTCTCTGTAGGGGCCTGGGCGCCTCTCCTTGGAGCCAGAGCCTTGAGGCTAATTAGAGGTTCACATGCCACAGATCTGATCCCCAGGTCCCTGCAGAGGGGAACCTCTTGCCAACACACAAGCCATTGAGTTGCAACTGTATTCTTCTGAGGCTGCCGTTGGCTTCACTGTGGCACTGACGCTTTTCCTGATTAGAAGGGTTTGTCTGGAAGATACTCTGTTTTGTTCTTTCTCTCTCTTTTTTATTTTTTCTAGAAGTGGCAATCAGCAACAAAGTGTTCATAAAAAATAGGTCAGCGTTCAGATTAATTAGGAGCCAGATTTACGAGGACGTGGCTAAGCAGGGGCCTGGTCTCCTGTGCCAACTCCTCTGTGCTAATCCAGCCCGTGTTATTTTTAAGCACAAATATCAAAATGTCTCTTGACAAATGAGACGTGAAATGAATGAGTTTTTGGACATAAACTTTTAGTGCAAATATGTATTTGGCTGTGTTGGGCACCTATGGGGCACAGGAAGGGTCTTCTGGCCTGGCTGGGCAGTAGTTGAAGGACAGACATTCAAGTGAGTACCGACCTCCCCACCCCCTGCAACACACACACACACACACACACACACACACACACACACACACACCCCTTTCCTGGCATTGCTGAAGTAGCTTGCTTGAAAAACGGAGGAACACAGTATTGTCTGGGACTTCTTTCTTCCAGGAGCAATTGCTTTACCGATGACTGTCTGGGGAGGTGGGCTGGGACCAGTCCTGAGCCTGCCATTCTCAAACAGCCAGAGTGTTCCCTTGACCCAGGCCTGGAATGGCCTTTTTAGCTAGAAACTCAGCTTTGGGTTTGTCTTGGAATTGGGGTGTGGTGGAAACCCTCTTCCTCCATCTGAGAGTTGGGTTAACCCCGGTGCACCTCCCGAATCGTCATCCACCTCTCTGCACTCCACTCTAAGGCCCTGGGCTCTGGTCCCTCCAGGCCACCTCGTCAGAGTCCTTGCCCGTGGCTCTCAGGAGGGTTTGGCCAGTGGGAGGCCCGCACAGGAACTGGAGGGCAGGAGGAAAGTGAGGTCCTTGCTGGGCCATCCGACCAAGGCCGCAGCTCCCGTCAGGCAGCCCGCCCCATCTGGCCAGCCCCTCCAGGTTATACTAATTGCTCCCCCTTTGCCCCTTCAGGCCAGGGATGCTAACGGCTCCCACTGTCCCCAGCCCTGGGGACTGGCACTCATCTTTTGTTGGCTACCTTAGCCCTGTCCACACCTTCAAAAATTACTCTTGTCGCCTCTCCCCAGTGACCCTGTTTGAATGTGCCATTTGCTTTGCCAGCACCTGACTGATAAACTGTCAGTACTCCGTGCTTGTTAACCAGGTGGCAGCAGTCCTTGCCGGCGCCCTGTCCTCGAGGCTGCTGAAAACTGTGAGCAAGGGAGGTCAGGCCTGAGGTCACGGTCTCAAGCTCCCTGTCCGGCTCATGCTGCTGGCGGCTCTGGCAGATTGGCTGGCCGGCTGCATCCCAGGGAGGCTCAGCAGGACCCTGCATGGCTCAGTGACACACCCCTGCAGAGCGGTGATCAATGCCTGTCACCTAAAAACACCATGTTCAGGCTTTGTCCCACTGACAGCCCAAACCTGGGTGGCCTTGGGTGGTAGGCGGGATGGGACACATAGGACCACATGGGCCCCCTCCTTGGGATCCAGGCCATCTGGGTATGTTTGTGGATTAGAAATCAGCTCATATACTTCTCCATGGCCACAATGGGGCACAGAGGTACCCAGAGCACCAAGACTCTCCCAAGACCTTCACCTGGAGATGGGAAGATACAGGCTTTCTGGTCTTTTGGCAGAAGGCCCACCTCTGGCCTTCTGAATGGAGCTGGAAAGAAACTTGGGGTTCTTTCTGAGATGTGTCTATGCAGTTCCAGGCCTATTCAGGAGCCGGCAACTTATAGGGATGACAGAGACCTTAGGGGCCACCACACCCCCATCCTGGTGGCACTGCCCTATCAGCCCTGTTGGGAGTCCACTTGGGTGTGCTTTTCGGAGGGAATGCACACTACAAGCCACTCCATGGGAGGACAGAGGAGCCCCCGTTAAAATGCTGCCCTGTGGGGGGCAAGTGGCCTTGGGCCGGGGGTCCTGAGCACTACGCCCTCAGAATGGAACGGGTGTGAGACCCTCTAGATCTTCCAGAAAGGGCACAATCTGTGCCACCTTCCACAGTGGGGGTCCTGTTGTGGGGATGAGTGACCCTGGAGCCCCTTGCGGCCAGCCCAGAGACTGGATATCAGACCAGCGATGCCAGGCACACTCAGATCAGCCCTGGTTGGGCTCAGGGTGTCAAGGTTCTGGCTGGGGAGAGAATATTCAAGCAGGAATGAGCTTGTGGCCTTGGTCTCATTAATACCTTTTGTGAACACTATCAAGTTCGTTCTCAAAGATCTTTTTCATATGATGCTTCCTTGACCTAAGCCTTTAAAGGTCCCTATTGGATCCACTTAGCATCTAAGACCCTCAGCAGTGTGGCCTCCAACTGCCAACCACTCAGCTGCATCTCCCCCATCCCCTCCTCTCTGGCAACAGCAGGTAATGGCTCCAGTGATGATAATGAATATGTACATAGAAATTTCCACACTGAGCTCCCTCCGCAGTCAGGAATTCCCACTCTCTTTTACAGATGAGGACATACATTCGGAGCTGTTAGACCACTTGCTTAAGTCATTCATACATTAAGTGCTGGGAGCACAACTCACATCTGGCCCTGCCTTCTGAACTCTCTGCTCTGCCACTACTCATGGTCTATGGAACATCCCAGAGGAATGTTCCGGCCAGAGACACATGCATTTACTTGCTGGGGCCCAAGGGCATAGAGCAGAGGGTTTTTTTTTTTTTTTTTCACCAACACAATTAAGCCACTCACTCTACAAGTCAATAAACACTTTTCCAGTAGACCTACTGTGTGCTAGACAAAGATGGCTAACCCCCTAAAATTTATGTTCCCCTTCCACTGAGAAGAGACAGGACATGAGGTCGGAAAGCAGCTGCCACGCTGAGGGCTACATTTTCCAGCCTGCCTTGCAGCTCTGTTGCCCCACGTGACTGAGTTCTGGCCAAAAGGTGAGAAGGAAAGTAACCTTTACCACTTGTAGGCCTGGTCTTTAAACACTTGCCTTGCCATTCTCTACAACAGCTTTGCTCCGAGAGAATTCACCCCTACCAAAATGATTTCAGTGGCCATTCTCTCAGTCTTCCAAGAACAATACAAACTTAGAACCATTCTAAATGTACAAGAAAGAAGTCAATTTGTTATCTACAATGTATGCCTCAGAGCATGAGGGCTTGGTTTTCTCAGGGAACTGGATTGAGAATGTTGCTTCTGTTTACTCCCATCTGTTGGCTGTAAGTTAATGCCCAGAGTGACCCTGGCAGGCATATTTTGAAGATGGGAAAGTGCATGTCAGCCTGGGTCCCTGAATGAATTCACGGAACAGAACCTCTATCCCACCCCACCCCACCCCACCCCCAACTTCAGAGCAGCATGAGACGTGAACCAGAAATAATACAGTTGAATTGTGTTAAGCACTGGCATTTTAGGGTTTACTTGTCACAGCAGCTAGTGTTATCTCACACTTACATAGGGGATAGAAAATTCCAAGTCAGGTGGGGAAGGCCGGGGCTGTTTGGAGAGGAGCCCTCCACAGATCTCAGCTCACCCACCTTCTCCCACAGCCTGGGGGGAAAGTCTTGTGGGGAGCTGTGTGGAGCTTAAGATCCAGCCAGAAGCCTGAGCTGCACGGAGAGACCCCCCCAAAGGGCACCTCAGATTCCGTTGGAGAGCCCAGGATCCTGCCTCCTTAACCAGCTCTATGCTGCTGGTGAGCGGCCTGCACTTTGAGAAGCACGAGCCTAGGGCACAGTGTGCTCCATCCCACAGCGACGTTTATAGGCCACTGTCGAAGAACTCAGACACCTAGTGCTGCAAAGCCAGTAGAGATGCTCTCTCTGGGACTATGCATCAAACAAGTCTGGGGTCCTGCCCCAGAGCTGTCTGTCCGGGGCAGTCAGTCTGTTTTCCCTTCTGCTCTCCAACTCCCCTCTCTCCTGTCCCCTCACCATCTCTCCCAGCCCTTTCAGCTCCCTAGGAAAGCAGGTCTTAACCTCTGGGTGCCGGGCTAACCATGGCAAGGCTCTATCTTCACGCCCCCATTCCCCAAGAAGGCCCAGAGGGGACTATTTATAGCAGAGCCTGTGCCTAGGGCCAGTCTGGACTTAGCCAAAGAGAGCAGAGGCTGCACAGCCAGTCTTACCCATAGCCTCCGACAATGTCTGCTCTAGCAATCAGCATCCAGACGCCCACTGTCTGAGTTGTAACCACCTCCTCCCACTCTGGGCGCTAGAGCCCTACCCTCTAGGCTCTCAGGGCTCCAGGAGAAAAGGGTCCAGTTCTCCAAACTCAAGAGAGGGCTCCCACACTGCAGCCACGGGTGTACCGGGAGATCGGGACAGGCCGGCCCCCAACCCCTTCATAAATACACATCTTGAATGCTTCTGAGCAACCAGCAATAAACAGTAAACTCAGGAAGAGAGGGAGACCAAATGAGGCTGCGGAAAACTTGCCCCAGGCGCACCCAAGTGCACTACCAATGATCAGGCAAACTCAAATGCCAGAGTCCCTCCCCTACTCCCCCCGCCCCCCGTTCCGCAGCCCCCGCGCAAGCGCGCCCCCTCTCGGCACCTTCCCTTACCTGAGCCGTGCCTCTGGCGAAGAAGGACCGCCTGGCCCAGTGGCGGTGACGCCGACGAAGCTGCGGCCGCAGCCGCGACGGTGGTCGTGGCTGCGTGGGCCGCGGAGGCGGCTGCCGCCTCGGGGACTGCGGGACCCGGGGCCGCAGGAGGACTCCCCGGAGGCAGGCTTTTGTCGCCGCGGCCGGGGTCGGAGGTGGCGCGGCCCGCGGCGCCGGTGGCACCCACGTTGTTGGCGTTGGCGGCGCTGTTGGCGCTGTTGGCGCCGTGGCGACGCGGGCCGCTGCTCTGAATGTGGGACACGGCCTCGGCGGCCTGCATGTTGGGCGGCGCAAAGCGCGAGAGCACGCGCAGCAACGCCTGGGCCTTGTGCTCCTGCGTGTCATCGTCGCTGTAGTCGGACACGCGGCATTCGTACACGCCTTCGTCCTGCCGCCGCACGGCGGACAGCCGCAGCCGGTGTGAGATGTCATTGCCCTGGACGCGCACGGTCTGCAAGAGAGCAGGCGCTGGGGTCAGAGGCTGGGATGCGCAAGCCCACAGCAAGCTCTCCAGCAGCGTAGTGCCGCCGCGCCCCACTTCTGCTTTTGCGCCCTCATGCCGCAGCACCCCAGCACCTCTCGCACTCAGGTCTGCCCCTGGTGACTCAGTTTTTCTTTCATCCCCCGTCTTCCCAGAGGCATGGGACTCCCAAACCTGACTGGCGCCTGGATGGCCCTACCCATTGCTCCGTGTCCCCATCATCTTAAGCGAATCCATCATGTTACATCCGCTGGCCAAACTATGCTCCTGTCCATCAGAGAAGCAGAACCCACCCCTCCTTCCTCCTTTCTTCACCTTGGAAAATTCTGGCTTGGCCTCCTGTCGCTAAACCACCGCAGGGCCTTAAGCCCAGCCCTCCACATCCACTTCCACCAACGTTCCTTTACTCTGGAATCCAGAGGGCCTGGGTTAGTGCCTGAAGGACAGCCACTTGGCTCTCAAGAGTACACATAAATATCTGCTTCCCCTCTCCACCCTGCCCTTCACAGCTAACCCTCCACCCTTCTGAGGATGTAGGCAACGCGGAGGCTGCTGCTGGGCTCCCCGGGCTCTGCTACTTTTGAGTCTGCATTTCAGAGAGGCAGCCCGAAGCTTCCTACAAGCCCACCTCCCCCGCGGCCTGTTGGATACGGTGGCAAGCAACCGCTTTGAGGCGCTCACCTCGGAACCCAGCGCATGATGAGGCCCCAGTGGTTTCCAAGCCCTGATATTTCCACGCTCCAGGTAGGAGAGCTTGGGCGCATCTCCTCCTTGAGTTATAGATCCCAAGACTCTGGCCCCTAGCAGCTCCGCCAATTCCCCTTACCCCTCCCCGCCCCCCACCTTCCCCCAGGACCTGCCGACAGCACCCGGCACCGGACCTGAAAGCCACGCAAAGGAGAGCAATGCGGTGGAGGGCGCTACTTGGGCGCCCGGTGTGTGGGGATGGGGCTGGGGGCGGGAAGGCCCACCAGTTGGCGAACGGGTCAAGGCCAGCGCGCTCCAGTTGCTGGGAGATAAGCCAGCAGAGGAGAGGCAAGCCGATGCGCAGGGGTCTGGACGCGCCAGCCGGACGAAGGAGAGTTTTACAGGTGAGCGCCTCACAGAGAAAGGAGATTCAGGCCTGGGACCCTTGATTTACACAAAAACGAACCGGATTCCACTAGCGGCGACCGATGGCGCCCCGACATGCCAAGCAACCGACAACGCAAGGCTGCGAGCACGGCCCTACATCGCGCGGCCGCTGAGCCTTTCTAAAAGAGAGGAAAATGTGGGGCGCGAAGCGGCCAGAAGGGGTCTCCCGCGGCCCGCGCTGGGCTCCACACTTACGCTGATTTTAGTTGCATCCTTATTTGTTACCTAAAATGCAAAGAGGAAGAGAGACACATTAGGCTCTCGGCCTTCAGGCTCCGGGAACTCAGATGCGCCTCTGGCAAGGGGACTCTCCGCGGGCGGGCTAGGACTCGAAACCGCTCGGGATGTAGCCAGGCTGAAGTCACGAAGGACATGAGGATTTCCTGGAGTTTTACCCAGAAGGAAGCAGGGCTTGGAGCTAGCATGGTCCCTGGCGAAGGAGAGGCTGCCCTAGCACACCTGGCCGCCAGAGAGTAAAGGCTGGATTGCCACCAGGGTGGGAAGAAAGGCTCATCTCCCTCCCCCCGGAGCATCATCATTCTCTGCCGTGTTTCTCTAAACCCCGTGGAAAGCTGGACGGAGGGGCCCGTGTATCCGGACAGGACGCAGAGGGAGACGTGAGCAGTAACTCTGGGTGGGACCCTGGGTAGAGAGTAGGTGTAGCATGTGTGTGTGTTAGACTGTATGTGAGAGGCCGGTTTAAGAGGCAGACAAACGGTGGGGGCCTTCCCTCCGATCCTGTGGGGGTTGGAGGTGCACTGCGGGCTTCTGGAACCCTGCCCAGAGGAGCTTAACTCCTTGGCCCTGTGCCCTGGGGACCTCGGAGTAGCAGAGGGCAGGGAAAGCCTGGCCCTACTAAGTGGTCTTCCTTCATCACCCACTACCCGCCTGACTCTGCGGCCGGCAGCCAGCAAGCAAGAGCAGACGAACTGGTTGAAGGGTTGCTTTTAAGAGAATTTTAAAGGAAAGGAGAAGGGAAGGGATTACCAAGACCGTGCTGTTGTTCAAGATGCTGCGGGAATGGGGGTTGTGGGAGACCGGCTGCTCCACAGGGCGGCGCCCTGCCTTCCTTGCCCGGGTTGCCCCAGCCGCCCGGGTCTGAGCCGGGTGAGCGCCGGCGCCGCGTGGGCGGCAGGTTACCTTGCTCCGGGCGCCGGGCACGCTGAGCGCCAGCTCGTGCAGCAGCTCCCGGGGCGGCTCCTTGAGGTACCACCACTGAATCTCCAGCGAATACGAGGTGGCTCCGCTAGCCCGGAAGGCGCAGGGCATTTCGATGTCGTCTCCCTCCCGTACTGTCACATCTTTGGGGACTTCGGTAAATGTAGCTGGGGGCGGGGAAGAGAGAGGCGTGACCAACTGTGGGGCGGGGGCCTGGGGCAACTCTAGGCGAGACTGTGCGTCCCGGCTCGCTGGCCTTTGTGCTTGCCACCCCGTAGCCACAAGCGTGGCCCAGGAGCTAGCAAAGTTCGATCGAACAGCTGCTCGGCCCCAGCAGAGACCGGCTACCGCGGCAGGCTGCTTTCCTCCGGATCCGGCGGGGCGGCACGGGCAGCTTGTGCTTCTACCCGGCTCCCAGCCGCACTGTCAGAGCCAGCCTGGGGCGCGCCAACTCGCGCGCCCCGAAAGCCGCCTTTCCGCCGAAGCACCTGTCCGGCTTCAAATGACCCCGGAGAGTGCTCCACCGCTGCGGCGACCCTTCGCTGCTCTCCTCCCCCTACCCCTCTGGGCCTGGGCTGCACACCGGGATTGCTGGAGACCATGAAGCCTTCCCCTTCTCTTCCTTCTCCGGCTCCTTGGTGACCGGGACAGAACGGTTCTGGCGGCCCCGGCAAGGACTCCCCCGCCCGAGACCCCCGCGGCAGCAAAGTTCCCGCGCTCACCGTCGGCCACGAAGAGCAGCAGGGCGTGCAGCAGCAGCGGCGGCAGGTATCCGAGGGCTCCGAGAGGGTTCCGCTGTTCCATCTCCCGCGGGGGGCGCGGCGGCGGCGGGGGCCCGGGCGCCGAGAGGCAGCGGTGGCGGCAGCGTGGGCTTGGATCCGGCTCGGGGCTCGGGCTAGGACGCCTCGGAGCCTGCCATGGCCCCGCGCGGCGTCCCCTCCCCCGGCCGCCGGCGGCCGCCAATCAGCCCAGCTCCCTCGCGGGTTTGCCGGGCGCGGGTTCGGCGGGGGCCGCTGCGCAGGGGGCGCAGGACGCGAGGTCCCGCCGGGAGGCTACTGGTGATCTGTCCGTGCTTCCCTCTCTCGGGCCGTCCACAGGACGATGGGGCAGCTCAATTCAGTCTCTGCCCGGCGGGCCAGGCAGAGGCTGGGCCGCCCCGAGACCCATCCCTGGCCAAGGGAGTGCGCGCCTCAGAGCCGCGAGCTTCTGCCTCCGGTCTCGTTCTGATTTGACTCCCGAATGCCACCTCCTCCGGTTCCCGCCGAGCTCTCCCGCGGCCGCCCCCGCTGGTCCCTCCGCGTCTCTTTCCGCAAGGCGAGTGGGCGCTCAGCCGCGGCTTGCAGACCTGGCGTCCGACCCAGTGCAGCGCGGGGAGAGTGGGTCCGGCGTAGCGGACCCAGAGCCGGGGAGAGGCGGGGAGAGGGGGAGGGGAAGGAGAAAGGGAGGGGGCGGTCAGTGGCTGGGCGCGGAGCCGCCTCCACCGCTGCATCACCCCCGCCCTCCTCTCTTCTTCCACAGCCTGTACCGCCCCCGCCCCGGAGGGCGCCCCCCCACCGCGCGGGGGTCGCTTGGAGGGGCCACAATCTCTGTGGTTGAAGCGCAGCCCCGCCCGCACCCTCTTTGGCTGGGGGTCCTCCCACCCAAACTCTCCCTGGCTTCTTCCCAATCTTCCTCGCCCGAGACAGCCGCTTATCCCTGTGCCCCGCGGCCCTCTCCGCAGACCCCCGCCCTCAACTCCTTACCCCAGTTTGGGCAAAGAGCTGCACCGCTCTTTGTCCCAGGCCCAGGCCATGGCTGGTGGGTGGGCACCGGGGGCCAGGGAGAAGGGCGGAGCGCTGTGCTGGGCTGGGGACGAGGCCGGGTGACGGAGGCGACGCCGGGAGTCTGCAGTGTGCGAGCGAGAAGTGAGCGCAGAGCGCCCGGCGAGCAGGTGCCTGTGGCGCGGAGAGCGCACGAGCGAGCCAGCTAGCAGCGGCCGTGAGTGACGGCAGAGGCGGCGGGGGTGGGGTGGGGTGGGGAGCGCCCAGCACGACTCAGGGCTCCGGAGGTTTCCGAGCGGGGGTGGGGTTCCTGCACCTAAATCGTTGGCCCATGCATGCCCACTCGTTCCTCGCCGTTCGCGGCCCTCTCTTTACCCGTGCAAAGCTAGGGGATCCTAAGGCGGCAAGAGGTCGGGTCCAGGGAGCTTTCCGAAGCCCATCCCCCGTCCCTGCATCTCCCCCCCACCCCCCGCCGCATCCCTGTACCTCTCCCAGCCTTCACCAGGAGCTTGTCCCTCCCCAGCTCTCTGCGGGAGTGCAGTCTGGCCTCCAAGGGGGAGTGTAGGGCCGGCTTCTGGTTCCGATGGGCACACAGTTGTAGGGGCAAGTCCCGCAACTGGGCTTGGGTCTCTCTTGCTTCCCTTCCCATGGGAGACCTGAATCCCAGATTTCAGTTTCTCTGTCCCTATCTTCCTGGCCCCAACCTCTCAGCTCAGTCCTACAGGAGGCCCCCACCGGTGGATGGTTGACGTTTCTGTTTTCCAGCTTGGCTTGCCAGCTTTCTGGAGGCACCACCAGAGTGTTCCCCAAGAGCCAGGGAGAAGGAAACCCAGAGGGCAGATAGTTCAGGGCAGCAGATCTGGTGCATGCTGCCCAGGGCACACTCTCGGTGGGGAAGTAGCTTCAGTCCTTTCCTAAGCTTTGTCTTACCAATAGGATACCCCTGGACACTGTGCCCTTTACCCTTCCTGGGCCTGGCTTTCTGTATCCTCATCTGTGACCCAGGGAGTCATTCCCACCCCCTCAGGCCATTGCTGCTCCACTAGGGAGCCCTGGCTGAGAAGGGAGGAATGTCGAGGGTCTTTCTCTTATTTCTATAGTTTCTCTGCAGGGACTCCAACCCACGGAGGCAGTTGCCAGCTGCCTTCGGTCATTTCATCCCCCTAGGGCCAGGGGCTTCCCGTTAGAAATCCCACCTCCCTTTAGAACCTGCCTTGGGTTGCTGAATGGAAGACCCTGTGGGCCCCACTGCTGTCCTTAGTTTCTGAACGGAGGGGGCAGACTTGCACTGTGCTAAGGAGATTCAGGACCTTGAGGGGATTCTAGGAAAGCACATTCATTTGGGGATTGATTCCAGGCAGAGCTCCGATGGCAAGAGCTAGCCCACAGGGCAGGGGGCCTGCCTGGGGACACAGCCATCTCCTGTCCTGACACCAGATCCAAGCAAAGATGGATGGCCAGTGATCAGGGATACACGAGGGGAGAATTCCCACAGGTAGAGGGAGTTATACCTTGGTTCCCCATTAGATCTGTGAGTCTTCTAAACCTGAACCACCTGTGGGGTAAGCTATATCTTGACTGCTTCATGAGCTGGTGTTATTATTAACAAGAATAGTGGCCATGTTCTTTCACATGCTTTCCATGTATCAGGCTCTGGTTATATACTTTCCATGTATTAGTTCTCACTATGATATTGGATCACTCTTTCTCTGCTCAAAATCCTACAGAGGCTCTTTTTGCACTCAGGATTAATACCAGAGGCCTTACAATGTCTGACAAGGTCAAACTATCTGCTTTTGTCTTCCACTCCATCACTATGTCTTCATACTTTTTGTGTCCTTTCCCTGATGACTCTCTCTAGCCACGCTGGCTTCCTTACTACAGTGCAACACACTGTGGTCCCACCCCAGGACCTTTGCACCAGCTGTATCATTTGACTGGGATGCTCCTTCCCCACACCTACTTCACAAACTCCGACATGTTGTTCTGGCTTTAGTTAAGAAGTCGCCTTCTCAACTAGGATCCTGGGACCACCGTTTTTATACTGCTGTCTGCATGCTCTCTCCCCCGGCACTCCCCTCACCCTGCTCTCCTTTTTTTCTCCTTCCCTTAGTTCTAAATGCCTTCCAACATATGGTACAACATCCTTATTTTTTGTGTTTCTTGTTTGTGGCCTGTAGTCTCTACTAGGATGGGGTTGTTTCACTGCTTTGTTCACTGACACATCTCTGACACCTAGGTGGGGTATGGTATAGAGTAAACCCTATAAATATTTGTGGAGTGAATGAAAGAGCTAATTTAACCCCTGTAACAATTCTGTGGGGGTAGACACTGTGATTTCACTGTATTTTAGAAATGTTGTGGCTGAAGCTCAGAGAGCTTAAGGAACTAGCCCCAGGTCACACAGCCAGTAAGTGGCAGAGTAGAGCTTTGGCCCAGGTCTGTCTTAGTCTGGGGTCCTAATTCTTAACCTAAACATTCAACTTTTCCCTACTCCAGGTGACACTCTGGTCTCTGTATGTGCTGTTGGTATGGAGGGCAGGGTCTCCCTGTCCTTGGTTGATGGCCGCCTGACCTGCCTTGCAGCTTCTTCCTTGCTTTTTGAAAAGTGCACAGGGGTTCTGTATCCAGCGGGTCTGTTTTTTCTTCTGTCCCCTCTGGCAGCCTGGGAGGTCGGCCGCTGTGCCTTCCCTCTCTGTGTCTCTAAGGCCCAGATAGGCCAGCCCTTGCTTAGGCTCAGTAACATTGCAACTAGGAGTGCTGTTAGTTGTGGCGGGAAGGGATGTTTGGCCTCTGCCCCGCTTTCTGCAAGGGAGCTGGTTCCTTCTCATTGTGTCGAGACGTGGGAAGAGGTCTCAGTTGGGGGCTGTAAAGAAGGCATCTGTGATGGAGCACGTGTGTGGTTTCTCTGGTTCCCTTCTCAAAAGGAAACTTCTCTCTGAGGACATGGTAACTCACCCCACTCACCCCTAGCAACTGCCAAAGTGTCCCTTGGGTCCCCACAAAGATGCCCTGTTTAGAGGAAATGTTGGTCATGTGACAAGAAGCTGGTTTCTTCACTGGTGGACTTCTAAGAGCATTTCAGAAGGTTGTGTCTCTGATCCTGAGTGTCCATGGGTGGGTAGTAACAGTAGTAGTAGTAGTAACAGTAACCGTGGGACCCCAAGGTTTTTCTCTCCCTCTGTCCATTCACAGGCTCCAGAATGCCTGCAGGATCATAGTGTACAGGGACCTGGAAGTGGGCCCTCCTGTGGCGTGACCACTAGGCCCTCCCTGTCCTGGACTCACCCATGCTGGGTGCTCGCCCATGGTCACCCTTGCCCTGTCCTGCCTGTTGTCATCCGCGCTCCCGTCATCGGGCTGCCAGCTGGGGTGTGTGGCGCTTGTCAATACCATTTTGTGGATGTATTCACTAGACTCTCAAAGGCACTTCAAAAAGCACCATTTAAAAAGAGTGCCCAGCCTTTCGTGAAAGTACCCTTAAATTACAGCCCTAAGTGAATATGTTTCCTGGAACTCACTTTCAAAATATATTTATTTTAATGCTCAGGTCCTCTTGGAGTTTTGGTTTCGATATTCGTGTCTCAGTGACCTTTCCTGTCCTCCCCATACCACACACCGCAACATTGATTTGGGGTAATGTATTTTGATTTTAAGATGCAGCCCATCCATAAACTTTTCTATCAATAATCCTGGCATACTCTGTGTACCTGACAGCTTAAAGGAAAATACCAGATTTATGGGGACTTTTTTTTTTTTGGCCACTTTAGTCATTCAGTGGCCGTCACTGTCAGGGGATAAAGGCCTGAAGTCCAGCCCCAGGACTACTCCTCTCCAAGGGCAAACCTCAGGTCAGTGTCTCCAGATGGAGGTGGCAGAGGGTGGCCTTCTCTGCACCCTGGCTGCCCCTAAGACATGGGGGGAGGCAGGTGGAAAAACTCGTTTTGGGTCCTGGGTTCCTGTTGTCCTCTTCTACCCCTCCTCCTTGCAGGAGGATGAGAGCGGGGCTCTGGCCCCTGCCATCCCAGGGAGACAAGAGAGGGT